AGTAGTAGTAGTAGTAGTACAAGAAGTAGGAGTAGTAGTAGTAGTTGTTGTTGTTGTTGTGGTAGTGGTAGTGGTAGTGGTAGTAGTAGTTGCTGTTGGACACAGTTCGGGGCCCGAGCTTCGGGGCCCGAACCTGGGAAACTTCCGGGGCCCGAGCAGTAGTAGTAGAGTAGGAGTAGGAGTAGTAGTTGGTAGTGGTAGTGGTAGTGTTTGCAGCAGTAGTAGCAGCAGCAGTCGTAGTAGTGGTAGTAGTAGTAGTAGTGGTGGTAGTGGTGGTGGTAGTGGTAGCAGCAGCAATGGCATCAGCAGCAGCAGCAGCAGCAGGAGGAGTAGTAGTAGTAGTGGTAGTAGTAGTGGTAGTGGTAGTGGTAGTAGTAGTTGCTGTTGGACACAGTTCGGGGCCCGAGTTTCGGCCCCGTTTCGGGGCCCGAGCAGTATTTGTAGGAGCAGCAGCAGCAGCAGCAGTAGTAGTAGTAGTGGTAGTAGTAGTAGGAGTAGTAGTGGTAGTGGTAGTGGTAGTGGTAGTGGTGGTGGTAGCAGCAGCAGCAGCAGCAGTAGTAGTAGTGGTGGGAGTAGTAGTAGTAGTGGTGGTAGTAGCAGCAGCAGTAGTAGTAGTAGTAGTGGTAGTGGTAGTGGTAGTAGTTTTGTGGTTCTCGATTTTGCTTGGGTCCTCCGGTTGTGCGTTGTGGTTGTGTGGTGTGATTGTGTTGTGGTTGTGTGTTGTGGTTGTGTGTTGTGGTTGTGTGTTTGCGGTTGTGTGTTTGTGTTTGTGGCTGTGTTTGTGGTTGTGTGTTTGTGGTTGTGTGTTTGTGGTTGTGTTTGTGGTTGTGGTTGTGTTTGCGGTTGTGTTTGTGGTTGTGTGTTTGTTGTGTTTGTGGGTCTTTTTTGTGTTTGTGGTTGTGCTTGTGGTTGCGTTTGTGATTGTGTTTGTGGTTGTGTGGTTGTGGTTGTGTTTGTGTTGTGTGTTTGTGGCTGTGTTTGTGGTTGTGTGTTTGTGGTTGGGTACTCCTCAGCAACCGTTTTGTAGCACTATAAAATCGAATCACTCAGGTTCCTCGATTCTAAAAGGAGACCACGGGATACCACGGGAAATTTCCGACAAGGGTGCAATTTGACCTAGTTGACCTGGGGGTTGTGATTCTAAAGTGATAGAACCCTGAGATATATGTTTCCGTGAGCTTTGTACTGGTGACATGGGGACTTTGATCCTTTAGTGACAGACATGTTGATGGTCATTGAGTGATCATGATTCTATAGAGGAACAGTGCTATGATAATCTATTGATATTCCTGTTTGGTGACCTTGACTGTATAGAGGGAATTTTGCAGAAAACATTCATCGAAAACACATTGGAAAATACTATATATAGAATCAGAGTCTTTTGAGCATACAGTATTATAAGGTTTGGGGGCATGATTTTATAGAGACCCCCACATGGGGGGCGTCGATTTATAGTATGAATAATTTGGCTACCCAAGTACCCATATGAATGTCAAAGGGGATATAAAATCTAACAACCCTCACCTGACAGGTGGGGAACAACATTTTAAATTGTTTTGGAATTTTAGGGGATCAGCTAGTTGAGAAGAAAAATTCATCAATGGGAAGAAGGGTTTGCTTTCTCTCGAGGCAGACGTTTTTCTCAAAACGTTTGTTTAAAGGCTGGAATTGGGACATCTAGGACCAGGGGTGTATTTATAAATATGTTTTGGGTATTGCTTAGCTTTATGCAGGGTATAATTACCAATCATATTATGATGTCGACATTATGTTCCAAGTGCATATGAAGCAATATTTTGTGATGATAATATCGTGTATGTTGTTGCTGGCTGATTGTAGCTATCATTTTTGCAGAACAGATTGAGGCTGCTGTGCCTAGACAAGAGTCAGCTACAGGTGCCAAACAAATTGTTTGCAAAGGTCTTTAAACTTGACCTCCTTTGCTCTTGGGATCCTGTTTGGACACCCGCCAGGCAACGAATGGTTGCGATGTTGCATCGACCATTTCGACCAGTCGTCGACGTCGCGTGCTCGTCTCTAACCGGATGCCGGAAACAGACTTCAACCCGACGCGGAGTGTTCTCCGCGGCAGGACAGCGTGGGAATCGTTCAGACCGCCTTCAATCGGTCCTACTATCAGCACATCCATTCCATTGCAAAGGATCTGTGGGAACTGTGTTTTTTCTTGCACTTTTTGGGGCGGGGTTGGATCAGAAGCTGGTATGTCTCAACATCCAGGTATGTTTCAAAGATAGTCGTGTAGTACTGTAGTGATTCCCGGATTACATAGACTGAAACGTGGAAGAGGGATGAAGAGGGAACATTCATTTATCCGTCATTTGTTCCATCCGTTGCCTCCACATCCCTGCATAAGTTGACGGATCTCCAATGGTTGAGAGGAGTACATTCCAAGTAAACTAGGAGGGATATAGAGATCCCCCTATACATATATATGTATAGGGGCATATTCTTCAGCACACAGGTGTTTCGAGTCCGGACTTGACAGCACCAAAGATGAGTTTGTGAATTTGTCATCTATTTTTGGTGGTTTTGTCATTCCCTTGAGTTTGGACACTTTCCAAGCATATACTGTAAGAGATATGATATGAATTGAATGTAACATTGAATCACAAGAGGGAATCTCGAGAGTTCCACAAGATAAAGCACAAGCTTCATGTCATTTGGATAGACTATACTGCTTCGCCAAGAACCTTTACGATCAAAAAGACCCTTTGTATCCCTTCTACGATCATCTGCAAAGCAAGTATTGGCCGCGTGACCTCTGGATATTGATCAATGGCCGAAACATCCAGCAGCGTTGGATGGCTTCAACCTCCGCAGCGAATGGCTCCATGGCCAGGAGGGCAGGGTATCCATCTCGCGGAAGTCCAAGGATCCCGATCAGGAGCGCAACGGGAAGTGGTGGAATGGCAAACAGCGTGATGACAGAGTCTTTGAGAATGAAACCAAAAACACGAACACACCAACACAAACAACCATTTCTGATGAGGCATGACGACATGTATAGATTTCTAAATGGAGAATGCTCGCTGTTTCGGTGTGCACTGCATGGCAAATGGTCGGACATTTGCGGACCAGACCAGACCTCAGACACTCTCCACGCGTTTTGTCCTGGCCAAACGACGCCCCGACGCCCCGAGAGACTTTGGGGGACAGGCTGTGCCTACTCACAGCAGAGCAGATTTTGACAAAAATTTTGGTTTTAAATTGTCAATTGTGTTTGTCATATGAAAATCAAAAAATAATATCAGTACAGTTATATGAAATATGTGTAAAAATGCGTTGAACTGTAAGAGCAGAGCTGCCTAGTACAGTTTGGTGTACTTTTTGCAGATATAGGTTTTTCATGTGGTAAGTCGACAACTGTAGGGAGTGTTGGCTCCAGCCAGGGGTTCTTCGTGCACACGAAACCCAGAATGCAATGATGAGGTCCACCCCAACACTGACAAACCGATGAGCTGATGTACCTTTCACCTTGCTGGAACATGAAGTGAAAGGTACATCACCTCACCTGACCTCCTCCTGTCACCTTCACCTCCTCCTGTCACTTCCACTGACCTCCTTTCACCTTGTTTCCACTGACCTGTCTTTGGAATCTTCGTCTTTGCCGCTTTGGGGTGGCTGGGGTCCCTTGCATTCGCTTCTCGGAATGGCCGGCCGATGTTCGGCTTCCGAGCCTGGACTTGGGACAGCATCGGGAATTCATGTTCGTCTTGGTGACAAGCAATTGGTCTTTTTCAAAAAAGACTCCGTTTTTTTTAAGCAGCCAGTTGTAGAAGTTCTACGATATCCCGCAGCTCGAAATTCGCTCGCATCTCTTTGGGCTGGGCATTGGGCATGACGTGACGTCGCGGGCGTCGCGGAAAGGTTTCCCAACGTCACGTCATGTGTTTGGCTGGGGTCTATATATAGAGCTCATAAGATGACTTGATTATTGGTGTTAGTGTTGACTTTGTTTGGATTTGTTTGACAAAATACGACTTCTGAAGCACACCCAATGGTGATTGCAGGGGGAATGGCTGGTTGGCTTGAATCAGGAGGGAGACGAGGATGCGGACAAAGCCATGGTATGAGAGATGATGAGACGAAGCGGCAGGAATAATCCGTTTTCGCCGTTGAGAGGAAGCGGCTCAATTTGAAAGGAGGTCTCGACAGATTGGAGTCTCCTTCATGCCAAATCAATGACTGGAGCCCCATCCGAATCCAAGTAACTCATGATTTCCAAACAGGAAGAATAGGAGTGAGTTAACTAACAAATGTATGGGCTCCCAAGTCTGCATTTGAAGAGTGTGTTGCCCTGACACGGCGTGTTGCCCACGGCCGAACCGAGAATAGCCAGCGACACCCTGGCTCCACTGATACCGTGGTTCCAGAGAACTGGGCACACAACTCGTAAAACGACATGTGTGCCGTTTGGACCGATCTCACCTGTATTTTTTGAGTCAGCGGAGTCAACTTGGGAACCTGGAAGACCACTTCGTTTCTGTGAAGACCACTAACATTTGGACGAACGAAGCTTTTAAGCAACGAAGCTTCCAGCCGTTGGAGCGAACGGAGGCTCCTGAGATCACCAATCTGATCATCATCCCCTTCTCATGTTCAACTCCTTGGGTTTGCAGAAGACCCACCAGTTTGGGACTAATCTTGTGCTTGTGCATGTGTTTTTGCGATCTAGATCTTTCTCTGCGAGTTTTGCTGGGCGTAAATGACCCGCAGAGCAGCCTGTTGACCAAGTTGACTCATGTGTACTCTCATTTGGCATCAGTCTGAGTGAACCTGCGTTTCGGAAAGGCTGCGTGCTCGCTGCGCCGCTCCCCTTTACTGGTTGGGCTGCAATTGACGAGCAAATCCTCTCCGTGCACTTCGATCATCTATGATTTACAATGATAGACCCTTTGACAACAGCACCAAAACCATCCAAAACCCACAAAACCCCAAAAAACACGGTGCTCGTCCATGTTAGAGTCTCATGTTTTGAGGCTTTCGCAGCAGCAGCTCCAGCCCGATGCCTTCGCTCACGCAGCCTTTGCAGCGCACACGCCCTGGCGCCGGGCGCTGGCGGCGCTGGCGCGGGCAGCGCTGGGACAGCACCGACAACAGCTGGGAGCCCCAGAGGTGGGGACTCCAGGAGCGGCACGGAAGATGAGGGAAGAGGACTGAAGCTGACTTCTTGTTCCCAGTAGGTGGCCATGGCCTCCACCCTAGTAGCGATGCCTCCAACCTAATAGCGAAGGCCTCCACTGAAGTTTCATCTATTTTTGACTGTTGGGAGTACGGCTGGGCCATCATGTTTTGGAAAGGTACAATTCCACGATTCCACATCAAACGACTGAGTATGTCCTCGCCTCCTCGGTGAACCCGGACAGGTACAAACTTGGTCTGGGGGGGGCCTTTGTAGAAGGAGGCCAAGCGGATTCCCACGACGTGCTGACGTATGGACGATCTTGGACGATCCCCGTTGGGCGGTGTTTGATTTTGGCTGTCTGAAAATCACGAGCACACTCTTTAGTATTTTTTGTTTTTTTTTGGTCGCACAGATTGTATTGAGAAACTTAACCCTTCATCCTCCTGGTTTACCCATGCACACCGACTCATTTCTGTACCCCATGACCTCCACTACGTCTCTAAGTCCGAACTCTCAGGTCTTTAGTCGCCTTCCTGGAGCTCGTTCAGAGCTGTGAGCAATCCACCTCATCTTCGTACATCTTCCCAGCGCTCATGGCAGAGCTAAGCCGGTTGGCCCTGCGGCACAGCCGGAGGTCTCCGCCTCTCACTGAGACCACCGGCTGAGACGGCAGAGGATCTGATCGGCATGGTGGGGCGTCATGGCTGAGACGACTTAGGACTCCACAACACCCCTGGACATCATCATCTCTCTGTTTTTGTGATGCAAACATGGTTTGAAAGTGGCCCTAGAGGTTGTTCTCTTTCACGGTGACCCCTTGTTGTCACAGAGAGTCTCTTGGGACAGCGCCGGACTTTACGGTGCTTTCTCAGATGGAGAAAAGGCAGCAGTCGGAGTGTGATGTTTTGTTTTTTTTTTTCTGATGGCAGAGCCAAAGGGAGCATGTTGGAGAGGGAAACGTTTTGGCCATGTGGAAGTAAAGTTAAAGTGTGCCTTCCTCAGATTGGAAGATGTGCGCATGTTCCTTCTTAGTCTGAGTTGGCTGGCTCGTCCAACTTGCGCATGTGCCTGCATACACGACCAACTGCGTCACATTTCACCGACAGCCTTGACACATGCTTTCTCGGATGTAAATCTGACCTCCTCCAAAGCATTCCATTGTGATTTCAGCGGGTTGCCACTTCAATTCACAATTTTTCATTGTTTGACAGACAGGTGATTGATTATCATGGGTTACAAGTTGCAAGTGCTTTCTTCTACATTGGTTTGTGCATGATGTCTCAGTGGACATCTCCTTCTCCCGGCCTAAAACCCTTCGCAGAGGCGCCGCGAGCCACAGAGAGGTGCCACGGAGACCAGGGGCAGACATGGGATGACCGCACAAATAGTCCCCAGATTTCCCCAGATTGGGTCTGTCCTTTTACCTGCAACAGTGAGTAAACAATAGTTATCACTATTTTTGAACAAGGCCCTGCCATACTAACAATACTTAACCATCATCATCCACTCTTACTGCTAATAGGATAGACCCAACCCCCAGAGTTTAAATACCCAAAGCAGATGGTGCATTGAGCCGGAGAGATAGAGGCCTTCCTGGCGACATTGGAAGACGATCATGAACTGGCTTGAGGTATCCATGTGATAACACTTTCTAAGGTGCAGAAAGCCACTCCAAGTCATAGCCCTCAATTCAGCAATTCTGGTAGTTGCGACCTTGTTCAACTCCCAAGTAAGGCCTTCTGCGGACCTTTGGTCAATGCTTTTTCGATCCTTCATTGAGGGGAATCCGGCCGGTGAAGGATGGGGTCGATCGGGACGAGAGGATTTGGTCCTTGTTCACGGTCAAATTTTCCAAAAATGGTGGCCTTTGACGGAGCTGGGAAGGCTGTTTGACGTCGCTTGATGCTGTTTGCCACATTTAATGGTCACTGTTCATTCACCCTTCGTGTTGCTTTTCTCGTCGGGACGTCGTGAGTCACACACCCAAGGCCTCACGTCGTTCTCGTCCCCAATCCTCCCACCGAGGCGAATCCTCTTGGGCGGAGCTCTCCGTTTGGGCGTGGGCACACGGATTGTATGCGTGGATGAGATATAGACATGTCTACCAAACACGGTTTGGACCGTTGGTAGAGGAACCCGCATTTCATGGAACGCAATACAATTTATGATTCTCCAAATATGTGTTACCTCCCAAAAGTGGTGGTGGGTTGAATGGGGGGCCCTGGCTTAGGTTCTTGAGGGGAGGTTGTATAATGTTATGCATACACACTTTCCATTTCCAACACTCATGGTAGTTATAGTGGAGTTCACCTCCGTTTTTGTGGAGTTGGTCATCCTCCTGTCGAGGCGAATTGACTTCAAACGTTTGAAATAGGGCCTTAGGGTCAGATCTTAGAAAGTCAAGCTTTTCAATTTCGTTGGTGGCTGGCTTGGCTGACACACACGCAAGGGATGTTCATTGGTGGCTGGGGAGGCAAGTCCAGAATTCGAGCCAGATGTTCTGAATTTTAGTTTTACATGGTTTTACCGAGCAACTCATACGTTTACTCGTATACGACTATAACTTATATATATAGCTATAGATATAGTAGACGACACGACCACACCGGGTGAACCGACCTCTTTCGTCTCGTATACACGACCCCACAGCCCGCTTATCCTCCGCGGCTTCACGAGGATCCCACCCGTCAGGGAACGGCCGGGAGACCCAGTCGTGGCCGGGGTGGTACGAGGGAGCGCGTACGTAGAGGGGAGCTGTGACTTGGGAGCCAAGTGGTTGGAAGGACCTGGGAAAGATCGTGGCAGGTCGTATACGGGAGGTTACAAGAGCTGGAGCTAGCGGGAAAAGGGGCAAGCAAAGGAATACAAGAACAATTTACTTATCTTTGGTCTGTATTGTGGGAGTCACGGAGTCACTTCCCATGCACTTGGTTTTCTGCAGCGACTTTCTTGGATGGCTGACGTACAGAGCCAGCCACTTCCGTCCTGATGATTCGCCAGCTGTGGCCGCTTCCGCTTTGCCCAAAGCGGCGAGGAGACTTTGAACCTGGTGCCGCGCTTATCCCCGGCCACACAGTGCGCCTGCCGGTCGACCTTGCCGCTTTTGGGGTGCGGTCTAGTCGTGTGTTGGTGTACTGGGTCCTGGTGAGGTCAAAGCCAGACAAGAGCCAGATTTTTCTAGGTCCCAGCTGCCAGCTCCTTTGCTTATGTTTTAGAAACATAATTGGATCCATGCAGTACATACCAGGACCATCCAATGGGTGTTCCATGGACTACCCTACACTACGTAGGGATCTCCATTGAACACCCATTGGATGGTCCAGGTACATGTACCAAGCATGTCGACCACGCGCAGACGCCGGTATCCGCCGGTCCTCCAGGCTGCTCCTGGGCCACGAGCTGCAGCGTGCCCATCGACGCATCTCCGAGGAAGGGATGGGAAAGATGGGGCCCAGCTTGGGCCTGGGATGGGAGCTGGGCTAGAAGTGTTGGGATGAAGAGAAGTCCCAACTTGAGTGGAGTTTGTTCCTGGAGGGAGCACTCTGAGCGTGTCTTGTCCAAAGAACATGTTTTAAGAACATGTTTTAGATATTATGTTGGAAGATCACTCGTGCTTGGTTACATGGACTTGAAGCATTTCTTTCTAAAGTGTTCTAAAGTCAATGCTTCGGTTCGAAGTCTGTATGAATTATGTGAGATCTTCCAGTGACGCCGGTCACAAGCTTCATGTTACAACACAGTCAGGTCTTCGAACAGCCGCACTGGTCAGTCTCTCCTGATCTCCGTATGTTGAGTCGAGTCCAATTTTGGGGAATACAATCCAATTGTTGGTTTGGATTGAGCCAATCCACTATATTGTTTCTTCCCGCTCAATACTATATTAATATTTTGTTGGGGGGGCTCCCTGTTGGATGGAGCCCAATTTGGGGGGAATCAACACCTTTGTACGATCGAAGGTTGCGAGATCCTGGCATCCTCGCAGGTTGGTTGTTATATGATTCGAATGAGGATTTCGTTCTCCCTGAGGTGTGCGAGTGGCGACTCAAGAATCCTCAGGAAAAAAAACATGCCAGAAATGAGATGTTGTGAGGAAGAATTCCCAAAACCTCCTCTATGCTAGACGCGTATGTCGTGTGGCACGACATATTTGCCTACAATTGGAGTGGTTTTAGAGGTTTCTATTCCAGATTGTTTGGATGTGTTTGGCACTCGTATAGTATTGGCAATGCCTGGAATGACCCACATTGGCCACAACTTCCGGTGATTTCGGTTTCAGGTTGCGCAGGATTTCTGGCCTAGGTCGGATGTGTCCATCCGGAATCCAACTTCCTGAACACGGCTGTCAGGGCGATTCTCGTGAGACGCTGGAAGATGCCTTAAGCCCTTTGCCTGAGGTGCTTTTCGCCGCAGTAACGGGCGATATGCAGGGACGGACAGAGCAGGACGGTCTTTCGAAGCAGGGGCTACGCCTGCTGATTGAAGGAGCTTCCACTCTTTAAAACTCCACTATTTTGTGTGTTTTTACTGTATTGTTTGGTCATATGAGTTGAACACAAAAAAACGGTAATATGTATTAAGTAAGGAAGGTGTCCCTGCTCTTGAAGCTGCCCTGTTGGCTCGGGAATGTCAGTGAGTCGTGCGTATACGGTGAACAGGAAACAAACGCACACGCGGGAATACACAAGCCACAAGCCATATCCCTGCAGAGTCACTTGACAGTTCTTATCCTTCTGTGCTATCGGAATCCATGGTTGATTCTGCCAAAGAACGAGCCGTCCTGTGATCCCTGATCCGGTCATGCGCCAGGGCATCAACGCATTGCCATCCTTCATCCAGGAGCTTGCCAAGTTGGCCCACTACTGCATTTTGTCTTGCATATATGGGCCAACATACACGCAACATCTTGCACCACCTAAAACTCGCCTGAAGCCCGTAAGGCCCTAAGGAACCCTTATCCAGTTCAGATACCCATGGCTATGGGGATCTTTGATGATTGGCGCCGGTAGTTGCCAATGCCGGAAATCGATGTGCCTGGTGAAACTGTTTTGCTTCAGCTGGGGTTGTGTTTCATGGTTCATTTGCTTTCAGGACACCCAGTGCCAAGGCCCCCAGCAGTTCCACAGAGCTACTTGGGCTGCTTTCCTGCAACCCTTTCTGGGTCTTTTGATCTTTTTTGCAGGCGATTCTTGGAGGATTTACGGAGTCCCACTAAATTCGCAGAACCGCAAGAGCAGTAGGGGGAGTTGCTTTTTCGCATACCGGTTGGATCCAGCAGTTTGCCTTGAGCTCTACAGTTGTTGGTACATCGGCTTGAAGCCCTGACCGCCAATTTTGGTAGTGCAAGCAGCCTTAGCACCACTTGCGATGAGCGTACACTACATCTCCCATCAGAGAGGCTCTTGCGGGTCTAAGCCGTGAATTCTGTCAGAGATATCTCCACTGCCCTTGGTCAATTTGTCCGCTTCGCTTCCTCTTTGGCAGCGCCCGTTTTGTTGCCCAGGAGCCTTTGTACGCCCTGGTGGCTTATGGCGAAGTGTTTCCAGGTGAACAAGGGGTGCCGAAATCCTTTGTGCTGATAAGACACTCATGTGGACTGGACCACTCGGTACACTTCACGCAGTTAGTAGATGTTCCCAGATTCTTCACCATGTTTCTGTGACAGCACAAGTGGACCTGCATGTTGATTTGGGTGAACATTTTGGGTGAGCCCAGCTTTCTATCTCACTTGATGATTAAGAGACTGTTAGATGACCTGATCATGCTGTTGCTGGTGTTGTGACGCTGAAAGACGATGAAGTGACGCTTGGAGCCCATACCGTGCTTTGTTGGATGCTAAAGCCAAAGCCACCGTGTGCATGTAACGTAACCACGGTTGTAACAACAGAATTCCATAGAATTCCAGTGAAATTATATTAGTATAGTCAATATTGTTTTATTATACTATATATATATTACTATATATGTATATATTGCTTATTATTGCCTAAAATGCATCCCTCCTCGTAGCGAGAAGGATTCAGACATGCGCGCATCATGCTACTTTCTCTCACCGAGATGTTTTCCTATAAACTCTGTCAAGGCATGCAATAGAAACTCAAAAACAATCAACGACCTCAACGACCTCAGCTGTTCAGCAGCCAGGCACTGGAATTCAGCAAGTGGAGTTGGCCATGATCGACAGTGCTGGGCCCTGAGTCCGTCGTCAACCACGGGCGAACACGGTCGTCATCCACGCGGTGAATTGTGAGGTGAGACCCGGGAGGCAACTTGTTCTACAGTGGTTTCAGAATAGATGGCACAATCCCCAAAAGGTGGTTTACATGGACCCCCATCTAAAAATCCTCTTGGGGGTTGTGGGGCTGTGCCTTTCTTGAAACTATTGTAAAAAACTTTCTCGGCCCACGCTGGTTCCCCCGCTCTTGTTGCCATCCTTTGGCTGTTAGACCACGTACTGTGCACAGATGTGTATACTGCATATGTGGTTGATTTTTCCACATATAGATCTATGGAGAAGCTCGTGAATTTGATGAATTATGGCACACTGAGTGCGTTCTACATCAGAACGATGTGTGAGTAGTGACATCTTCCACATTCCCCTGGTGTTCGGGACAGCCTGATCGTTGCGGGTCACAGACACGGGGCTCACGTCCAGACCGTACAGAGCAGGTGACTTCTCGCCCTGGTTGGACGGCGTTTGGGGCTGAGGATCAAACGGATCAAAGCCGAGGGTGCGGGGTAACAGATGGGTCACATGGCTCGGAAAAAGGCTACACGCCATGGCCAAGCGGTTGTTTTGTTTCCATGGACCGGTTGGACCGGCATGGAATTGGTGGAGTTTCCCAAACCTCTTCTTAAAGGGGAAGAACTCTTGGATGATGAAGGTACACCGGAGATCAGGCACTGTGCGTCAGGTGACGCCGGAGATCAGGTAGGTGAAAATCCGCCAGTATAGTATCCTGCTACTGGTGATTTTGATCCGCAGGAACATAGATAAATAGATCAGATACCAGGACCCTCCAAGGGGTGTCCAATGGACTACCCCACACTACCTATAGGCTTTCATTGGGCACCCCTTAGAGGGTCCAGGTAGTTTCAAGACTTTGTTTCCAAGGTGCTCCGAACTTGATCAAAGATCCCAGGTTGACAGTAAACCACATGCAAATCACCACTGGCAATATCGCCAAGCTTGTAACGCCCGTATTTTTCTGACGGCAGCTAGAACCTGAACATGGGAAGGGACTTCTGAAAACCCACCTCCTCAAAGGTGTCAAAGGGATCTTGGAGGGAAACTAGGCCAGACGCTGCTCTCGAAGTGGAAGGAGCTTCTCCAAGCGTAAAAAGAATACACTGATGATATGCATAGGGATCAAAACTCACCAAACACTTTGGGCAGTCCAAAACGAGGGACGAACTGGAAGTCCCTTCTCTCCAAATGGTTCGACTCGCTGCTGGGATGTTCGACTCGCTGCTGGATGTTGCGAGAAGTCTGCCGTCGAACCACACGAGTCCCTTCCACCGAGGCCGTTCTTGCTGCGCAGCGACGAGCGCAGTGAGGCACAAATCCGTACAAATCTGTAGACAAGAAAGGGTGAAGTAGTTTACCATGCAGTAATTCCGGAGACTACAGAGCTAGAGGGCCCAGGGGCAGTTGGGACCGGAAAGAGAACATACTTTGCTGTGTTGAAACCCTGAAACCATGCTACATGAATTTGCCTTGGGACTCTAAGTACTATCAGAGTCACATGAACTTCATGAACATATTGCATATTTGTAATTATCTATAAGAAGTGGGGGGTACCGGACATTATATATATATACACAGCACAGGAACTCAGTGTATAATGTGCCATACAGAATGGCAACTCAATGCCCCCCAAAGATCATAACTGGGGCAGCACGGGAATTCCTATGCTATGGTTAGATTGCAGTGGCTAGTTAGGCATCAGCCCTGTCCAGGGAGTTGTTTATGTTCTTGATCAGTCCTGTCTCAGCTCTCCTTTAGCGTAAAGGCCAAAGCAGAATTCGGGCATTGACTGACTGAGACCTCAACTGCAGTGGGGGAGATGTGCTCCAATTGATCAAAACGTGATGCACCCATCGTGGTGCAATCCTTTGTTGTTTTGGTCAGAGGACCCCTCATGTGCTCGTGTCAACGAAAATCAGCTGAATGTGCTCGTGAAGTATTCCAGATGCTATCAGTTGCGACACAACTCGTATCAACACACCCAAAGGATTATGACAAACATACAATCTCCAGAATGTCCTAGACGCGGCGATTGATTTGTATCCTTTTTTCTTTATATTGATCCTTTTCCAGCGGGAAAATCCATCAGTTGAGACGTGGGAGCGATCGGACACCCGCCACGCCGTATGGCCATACGGCAGATGCAAGTGCACTTGATGGACGTGGAGGTGGGCACGATAGACGCCCACCGGGGCTGATCATGTTCGAGAAGGGCTGAAATAGATAGAATCTAGACATTAATATGAAACATAGACAATATGTTGGATTGCAATGGATAGATCTATACTTGATGCTTCTACTATTTTTCGTACTTCTTGGACAGTGACCGTTTGCAGCTCATGAAGTTGGTACTGTAGAAACATTGTCATGGCGTCCTACACCTCATGTGGCAAGAGTGAGACAGTCCAAACATTCTACAAGTGTTCTCAGTTCATTGTGAGGCCATGTGAGGCCGTTGTCATATTGACCATACGCGACGATGGTGGATGCCAGCAAATTGTTAAACAATACCCTCAATGGCACCCTGTAGATTGTGCTGCTGATTGGGAAACGATTGGGAACTCCCCATGTAGAATTGTTCTAGATAGCCAAATGATGCCAAATGACAAGGAAGTTCTTGCTGCGGCTCATGTCAGCACCTTGCCAGGGATTCCTTACTCATGTGCGGATTACGCCCCTATGGAATCCAACCGTTCCAGCTGAATCGGAATCCGTTCTTTGGGATGTGTCCGTTCTTCTGAGACCGGACGTTGGATGGGACTGGCGTCAGGATCCAGGGTCAACAGGTGTAAACCCCTGCAGATCATACCTCAAAACCCCCAAAGTTCCTATGGGTCGGGTGGTTTCGAGAAGGTTCCATGGTTTTTGTGGCACCGATTTCTCAGGGTCCACAGGATCGGGTGCGAAAACACTCGTACCTTCGGGGGGTGTACACGCAAGACGAACACGTCACATGGAAGTGGATGGCACCCACTTACAAACAGTGGAGGAAAGTCGTCTTCCAAGAGGCAATTGTCCACTTCCATGTGACGTGAGTCATGTGAGTCAGAGTCCAACACTTCTTCTGTTATTCCATGGGCGGTCTGAGGGACGATGGGGAACGAAGTCACGCGACTATGAGGAACTGAAGCTATCGCTTCGCTATGCTCGGCAGAGCTTCGCTTCGCTTCGCTTCGCCCTTCGAACCGAACGGCAGACCTTCTGGTGACCCGCAAATCGTTTCGCCCGGGCGATGAGCATCGTCCGTAAGATCCATGAGTTGATCTGCCCCTGGTGTAACCGGTGTGGCACTGCAAGGTTTTGACACGTTCTCCAGGTTCATCTTCCTTCTGCCTGCCTTATCTGGCCTGTTGTGGCCTGTTGAACCTTTTGAACTTCCTCCTTTGGTGGTTTGTGCTGTTGCCCCCTTATGAACGTCTCATTACACCACACCATTTTGCCTTGTTCACAGGGCGTGTCCCCAATTGTGTAAGATGTGCAAAGCTGTGCCCAGTTGCTGCGCAGCCAGAGTTGCTGCTCTCACGGAGATGTTGTCTAGATGAAAGAGAGTCAATAAGTGTGCCTTTGCGTCTTGTTCGGTGAGCCTCTCCCGGAGGTCGAGTCGTATCTCGTTGATTCATGTCGTCCCTTTTCACCGCTTCCCAAGGGTTCCTTCTCCGCCGCAGGAGCGCAGTGGCCGCTGTGCCTTCCGCCGCGGTGTGGGGCCGGTGTCGCTGTGCAGGGAGGCACAGACGGTCGAGGCTGGTTGGCACGGAAGGCACATCCAGGATAATGACCATGGTTTTGCAAAGCCGGGTCATGTGTGACTTTCCAAGCTGGGCGAATCCCCTGGCATGACTACTGGCAACAGATCCATGCGATCCATGGCGGCCGGTGGAGAGTGGGCTCTTCTGATTGCCTACTTCCACTTTTTTCGAGTTTGGGAAGATGTCAAATGTCAGGGCCACAGGTTTCTCTCAGTGTACTAATAGTGTATATATATATGTTTTTACTATATTTATTTATTATGTGTATTTTGTATTTGGTCTTGACTAAAGTTGTCTACGGCATGCTCTATGTGTTCTTAGGGCCCCCGTATTCACGAGATACTGTGATTTGCTACTAAAGTTGTTTGAATGAGATACAGTGACATGACCTCCTACTAAAGTAGTCTAAACAAGATAAGCCCCCTATAGATAGATTGGCTTTTTGAGTTTAGTAACACGTAAATGCCGCTGTGCATATATTTCCTGATCTCTACTGTGGTGTGTGGTTTCCTGATTAATGTATAAGTGTAGCACAGTCGAAGGGATTTGGCCCCAGGCTATGGCAAGCAAGACTCCTGTCATTGCACATTTGATTGCCTAGTTTGTCCACCTGATCAACCGTTCAACCTTCCATCCGTTTGTTTGTCCGTCCATCCATCCAAACACCCCCTGCATCCTAGGGCCCGCTAGCCGGGTGCACCATGTTCACCCAGAGCTATATCCCAAGGCGTTGCTCCACAGACAACAGTTTCATTCAGTCCTCACTCCCTCCAAAGCTTTCAGGCTCTCCCCGCCAAAGATGGCTGCATGAATTGTGTGTGGTCCTCCAAAAACCACCTTCCAAACACCAAGCGAAGTCGGATCCGCTGAGAAGCGATGCCGATCCCGAGGCCCTGCCAACTTTGTGTGCCAAGTTTTTTTATGCGCCACGAACCTGTGGACGCCCGGAATGAGTGTTCGCCGATGTGCAGTTTGGGCGGGAGTTTGGGCCGAGGTCGCAATGAGGATGTATTTGGATGTACTTGTAGACACCGAATGGGTTTGTTGCTTAGCCAACCACGAGTACCACCAATGGTGATTTGAGTACGACAAACGTGACAAACACGGATTCGTTTGGAGGTGGGTCCAATTCGAACCATGTTTGACGGATATTTCTCCCATTAGCCATTGACCAGAGTACCATATACTATATAACTTTAACATCATATAACAAAATGGGCAGATGGCTACACTTGCATCATTGTATATAGGTTCGCTTGATATAAAATATAGGTTCGCCAGCCCACTGGTCGTAACCCAGCCAGCCCATTCTTGCGTCAACCCTTCATGCCCAGCCCATTGGTGGTGCTATTTGGATAAAAAATAACATGAACGGCTGCCTCCACTACAGCCCAGCCAGCTGCAAGCTCAAGCCCTTACTTGGAATGTGTGGGGGACACAGGTTGGTGATGCAAGTGATGGAGATTAAGGCCTTATTAAGTTATTAAGGCCTTATTAAGGCCTTATTGGATAAGCCTTGAATAAGGCCTTAAGAAGGGATGCAATTGCCAAAACACTGCTATTTACAGGGTTTTGGACACCTCCAGGGCCAAACCACCCTTCATGTTGACTGCACCACCAATGTGCATTTGGGGGGGGGCTGTTCATGTTATTTTCTTATCCAGACCTTATCATTTAAGCTAGAAATGGTAACCACACCTTAAGTGATAAGCTCAACAGCCCCTGTGAACAAAGGACAATAACTCAGCAATAATGCCGGCATATGAAGGTCAGGTATAGCATTTGTCCAAGTAGAACCTTTTATTATAGGTATTTCTCAGGTGTTGAAAATGCCGAACTAAAGACGACCACAACACATGTCTCGCCTCCTGACGCTCGGCCGGCTCTTTCTCGGCCGTCCCTGGAGTGGTCAGGATCGATGCGGAGGGCTTAGTGCGCTTCCAATCCATGCGGCGGCGTGGAACCTCAGTCGACTTGGACCTCGGGTTTCAGCATCGTGTGTTTGCGGGTTGTTACTTATTTTGGGAGGAGCCGCTAGTTCACAAGCACCCACCCAGGAAACGAGTGGATTTTGTTCTATACATACTTCACCAGGCCGCGTAAAAGGCAAAGCACAATCCAGGCGCAGCATTTTGATGAGACCCTTTCACCAAAACAACCCAGATGCAATGAACATATGATTCAAAGGTAAGTCTTGAACAGTTTTAACAGAACAACTATGAATGAATTAGACCTATGAAACAAAGCAGCCCGGAAGAAGCGTTTCGACACTCACTTCCCCCAACGGGCCCCTTCCAAACCGCGGCCAACCGCGGCCGCGCCTCGTCGTCCGTTGGAGCTGGATCGGATGGTCACAGGATCATCGTGGAGCTCTTGGAGCGTCGCCAACGACTGGGTCAGGCGCGTCGCCGGCGTTTGAGTCGCTCGCGCTCGGACCCGTCGCGAAACCCGCGGAGGTCGGTGGACCGGGAACGCGAGGCGACGGCTTTTTTCTTTCTTCGCATTCATGGCGAGTGGACGTGCTTTTTGGTCCTGGAAAGACGATTCTCGGAAGACCAAACAAGGGGGGTTGTCCACTTCAGTGTTTGTGGCAGGGAGGGTAGTAGGCGATGGATTTGAACTTAAGCCTTAATCCTACGTACCCTGACTCACACCAGTCAATTAAAACAATGTGTTCTTTGGGCAAGAGTGTGATTCAAAGCATGAAACATCCATGTGAAGGCTCCTCAACCAAATGGGTTGATGATTGTATCTTCTATATATGCTGCCCTTTCCCAGCTCAGGATCTTTGAGGTATCGCCCCTTCTCTCATGCTTCCAAATGCCTTATTCCTTTTTAACCTCACACTGCCGACATTAGAAGGAATCCGCCGTTGGCATTCCAGAAGTTTTGTTGACCTTACCCAGCAGTGGGGTCATATCCTGCATGTCTTGTGGTTTTCAACTCTCGGAATCACTTGGCGGAGCTTGGCTATACCTTTTCCATGACATGGCAGGGTAATATGCAAGTTAGCCCTCCCGCAAAAGTTGCTTATATAATATTTTGTAATTAATATATCATGTTCAAAGAGGATCTCAAGTGCAACTTTTGGAGATGTCGGTACTGTAGAGTCTTTTGAAAGCCTCATAATGATAGAAAGATCCTCCAAGCAAAACTCGGCCAAGTTTCCTCCATGCCCACAGGTGAAGGAAATGGAGCCGATGGAGACCACTTCCGCACTCCAAAACGTGCCCCGGCGAACTGGAGCGACGTGGAGAGCACGAGTTCCACGTGCTGAAGCGAAGTTGTGGATGCCAATGGGCCAATGGATTATATGTTCGTGATCATTGCGAAAAGAGGAGGGTGTTCTTGCTGCCATGGCCATGGGTGCATGATGTGGATGCATACATTTTCCGAGTGAAGGTAGAAGTGTTGGCAGTTGAAGAGACCCTTTTGAGCACCAGGAGCTTTGATATGACATGAGGCGTTTGTGATTGAGGGCCCACCAAGTGTAGATTCCCAGAGTGTTTTGCCCATCTAAGAAAAGCTCTCCAAGGGGCCGAACAGGTTGAAAGGATAAGTTACACTGCGCAACAATTAGCATATATATATATACACACTATTACTATTCCAAGATATAGTTATGAACCATGAACCTCCACTGCTGTGTGACCATTCACCTCCACCACCTCAGCACAAAAGTGCAACTGACGACGAAGTCGGCAGCCGAGGTCACGAACTTGCCAGTGAGGCCGCTTGAACATGCGCGACACGTTCGGTGACAGTGACGTCGGACGGAAAAAAGTTGCAAGACTCGACTATAGAGTCACTAGTCTATAGCGCGTACTTATTGAAATACTCTGAATTCGTTTCTTAAGCAGATCAACACAGAATACCACGATGTGTTCGTGGATGTTCGTGGGTTTAAATGTTTGGGCTTGTGGTGTGCAAAATACCCGCATAAGCAGGCAAAAGAACCGCAAGAACTACAGAGATCTCTATACATCCTCCCACATGAGATCGATGAAGACTATGAATCCCAAGCGGATGGGCCAAAACTAATCGTATGCCATAAACAATCATGGCTCCTTTCACATAATGTATGGCATTCAATTAGTTTTGGTCCATCCGCTTGGGATTTATAGAAACATAGCTCCTCCCTGCATGTTTCTTTTGGTCCCTCCAAAAAGAAAAAGCGTCCACCTGGCCAGGCTCAGCTCCAAGTGAGCGTCAAACGCCGCGCGGACCGTCCAAGGATCGATTCTTGGGAGGTGCCAAGTCCTTTTTTTTGGGGGGGGGGACTGTATGGATGATCTCCACATGGGGAACCGGGATCAGGGAGTTCTTTCAAGGTCCTTCGCAAAAACTGAGAATGAATGATTTGTTCAGGTCAGATATGGTCAGATATCTCACACTCACTTGATCGTTTGAATAGCGCGTTCGCCAATTCATTGAAACTCTTTGGTCGCGACCAAAAAAGGGTTTTCCAGGCCGAAACTGCAACGTCCGTTGTTGCGGGACCTGGAGATCGAGGAGTGGCTGCAAATCTGGAGCCCAGCTGTGCAGGTGCTGTGCAGCTGTGCGGCCAGTCCGATGGACATCCAACCCGAGAAGCTGAAATGTCTTTGGATTAGCACCCCTTTATGTAGAGTGCGGGAAGAAGCAAACAATCATTGGGAGCAGCAATGTTGCCATGTATCTTGGTCAATGGCATGGGCTGAAAATCAACCAGTTCCAAAAGAAGCCGTTTGCCTTGGTTCAAAGTAAGCATAAGTCAGCTAAGCAACTACTCCTCAGGCTCACTCATCTATAGATATATATATATTATAAACATAATGCATAATAAAAGTGTAATGAACGTATGCTTACTTTGACCAAGTGTTTTCTTGAAGTTCTTGAAGACATCAAGGCGGTGTGGCTCTATATATATATATATATATACATAGTCAAGGCTCCATCCACCTTGAGATGGTTGCTGTATATTCTACAGCCAACATACTGTACTGAATCCTACGTGACATGCAAACCTTTGAAACTCCTCAGCAGATGTGGTCTCCTTTGGATGTTGGACATGCAGCATGTCAAGGTTGCAGCATGTCATTCTTCTCATCCATCCACAGTCATCGCTATGCCGGAACATCCAGATGGACACTCCCTTCCCTTATTGATTCAATTCAATCAGTGCAATGCACTGCTGCACGGTGTCATCCGGTGCGGGGATCGAAGATCATCGAAGCAAGCTTGGTCGGCCAGGCGTGCGGGTCAATGTTGAAGCTATGTGTTTTGGGTTGGGGGTGGTGTTTGACCCCCCTGCTGCAAAAGAAGCTAGAGAAAAAAAGGAGAGTTCTTCTTTCACCAGCAGAACGGGACACCATGAGGACTGCATGAATAGCAGTGGTTTGGCCAACTATCCGGTGGTCGTTGGGACACCCGTGGTTTCCGAAGCTTTTGTTGGTGGCTTGTGGAGGGTTTTTTCTGGACATCGCCTGGTGACTGGACATCGCTTTGGCAGGTCACAGGGCGTTGTTTGGTGGATTGGCTTGGTCGATAGGTACCGCACCGCACCGACTCCGCCAAACCCACCGGCGGGTCGCCTGCTGGGTTTGGCATTCATCTTCATTGGTCGGCTCATCATATCCGCGGTCGGCTCAGGTGTTCTTGGACACTGCGGACCTATACCCTTCTGAACAAGATTTCTGGCCAGTCAGGGTCGAGAAGATGCACTTCCCCCAGCACATGGGTAGTTCCGAGTCTTGTTTTACTGTAGGGTCTGTCAAAGTGCGAACTGATGTGATGGGCCAGACAAGGAAAAGGCTATAACTTTGCTTGGTGTTGCTTGCTTCTCCAAAAAAAGAACAGCAGGTCATCCATCCGCAAGAAGTCTCACAAGAAAGACACATCATTCAACATCCTCATGGGTTGTGACCCTGGTTAGTTCTTGTCTGAGCAAGTCTTCGTTCGATCCCTGGCTGCTTGGTACCGATTTAGACGCCAAGAGCCACTGATCCAGATGGCATCCATGAATCTTGGAGGAGATCCAGCTTCAAAGAAATGTGGATTGGGATCAAACAAGTTTTTAGATGGGACCCTTGGATATGGTGAGGCTTCCAGTTAGATGTGTCCTGATGTGTTTGAACATGGGTGGGTTCTTGCCCATTGGTCCATTTCTCGAGAGTGGGAGATGTGAGACTTTTTCTCAGTGCTGGGCTTTGGACCAAGAAGAATGATGCAACCAATCCATTGAGTTACTTTGGATGCAGTTGCTTTTGGTGTCGCATGAACTGGGGGGTTGATGTCAGTGATGGATCTTTAAGGTCCGTCAGGACGCGTCGCGTTTGGGTGACGAGGTGCGAACGGACACCGCCGGGGTGCTGCGGTTGGTCCGCAGGTGCGAGGAACGTCATCCGAGGAACGTCACGTGTGGATCAACCAATGTCAGGGCGTCAGATGTGTTCATGCATGTTGATGCTACATTGTTCAACCTGAGCAGTGAAGGAGAATCACATCCTATCAATGTGACACTTGCCGTATGTAGGAGACGGGCTATGAATGCTGCCAGTGGTCGTTGCACAGAGTCATAGCGGGTAGGACTAGGACATCATCCATGTGAAAGAACGATGGCTCCGGATGGACGTCAACAATGTAAGACACCAATAACATTAATATAGATATAATCATATTACAGTATTACATATATATATAACTATATATATACACTCAAGTAAGACACACCTGTTTCTCACACCGAAACAGACACCTGACACCTCAAAGAGCGTTCATTGGCTTGCACCGACAGGTTGCTTGATGTGGACCCAAGCGAACTTGGACCATCTTGGACCCAAAAAGGATCGTGGACCGGAGGGCGTGTGCCATTTGGAAAGGACGCCGTTTTCCGTGACCCTTCGAAGGGCTAGCTACAGTCGTTCATGTGAGGTCAAGATGGCAAGGTTTAGCTGACTGGTTCTTGGTAGGAAGTGAATGAGGGTGGCTGCACCCTGAGGGCGATATTTTAGGATCCATTCCCTTATTACTGACCTATACGGCTATACGCATGAGTCAGAGGCTTGAAGATCCAGACGGCCCTTGCAGGCTTGCCGTTCGGCTTGCATTTTGGGGAGACTTTCACAGATTCAGTAGATGGGGCCCAACGATGGTTGGGTTTACCTTCCTCGTCGCTCAATACACAGGTGACGTGACGAGGAGTGGTTGAGTTCTACGGCTGTTTTGTGATGCTTTGTGTGCGTGTGGTGTTGTTTCTTCGCAGATATATGTGGCTCATGGAGTGCAAGAATACATTAATGTAGCTGAAGTGGAGCTATATAGGATATATTGATTCACGGATGCACGGAGATGGCTATGGCGCGTTCACTTTTGTCATCAATGATAACGGAATATCACCACTATATATTGTACTTACTTTTTCTTACATTTGCAATATCCTAATTCTGATCAGCTATATAACTACAACTTACAACACAAACTGAAATACAATCTGTAACAAGGCGTGTATATTAATCTATAGGTCATTTTCAACTGTCCTCTTGGCGACAAATGTTCTCACTCAGTCTCCCAGCAAAACAACCCGAGCTTCCACCGGTTTTCCCGTTGGCTCGTGGCCGGGTGCACCGCCCATTTGGCGGAACACCCCAATGGGGTCCGCGGCCTCTTTGAGAGAGGTGCGGCGCGTACCCGCAACGCGGATCCGCGCTCGCACCGCGGCGCTGGGTTTTTGGGTCGAGGGGCATTGGAAGTGAATGTATTTGTCTTTGTCGGTATTTTGTTTATGTAAATTGTGAAACGTGCTTCACCATGTGTGTTTTGTCATTTGTGGATCACCGCGGACAAATTTGATGATATCCTGTTTCGGAAAATTTGTTTGGTGTCATTCATTTCTACATCACTCTCAGACTTGTACCATGAGTGTACCAGAGAAAGGCATCCTGTAAGGCCTCAAGAGTTCAGTGTGGCCATGTTCGGTCGGTTTCTTCCGTCGTGTTTGAGCGCCGATTACATGTTTGCAGGAACATGTGGCATTTATATGATGTGAATGCTCGTGTCAGGGTGATAGTTACCCTTTTTTCAATACTCAAATCAACCAGCCTGCAATGATTCTATGATACTGATACTTGTTCTGGTGTCAGGATGCCTCATTGGTGACTTTGTTTCAAGGTTGATTTGACCAATAACCTCGGTTGATTGTGCATTTGCAAGAACGCAATTCACACAGAACGATGTTAAGACTATCTACGTCCCAACCGGCCGACGTCCCAACCGGCTCTCAGGATGAACCCGTGCTGCTTTCCGTCAAAGATGTGGAAGACGCGCGGCTTCAGGAGATGTCGGTTTCGCGGCTTCGTAGCGATCAGGGCGGCGTGGTTTTGCAAAGGGATGGGTGCAGGGTCAGGGTCATGGTTTTTGTTGGGACTGATGAGTCCGACAATGATCGCTCAGACCAGACAGAAGCTCGAGGTGGTTGTGAGGTGGGGCAGGTCCATATCGGGATAGATGTTATCTGAATTTTTGATATTTGATGTAAATATCCACTTGGATTTCCTTCAGCCCACTGAAATCACACTTGCAGATGGTGCACACATGACATGTGCCCACTGCCTTTTTTGGAGGTGCGACTTTGCCAGAATTACCAGGACCAGTAATTACCAGTAATTCTACTGTTGTCCTGGATAGATGGAGCTTATACTTGTTGGCACGACATTGCCCAGAGGGTCACATCTCCGACGTCTCATGCTTCGTCAATGCTTCGGAAAAGACCGGGCAACGCATCGAAGCAGTTCGGTCCAGCTGCTTCAGGACCATTTTCAAAAGCAGTTCGGCAGCCCAAGTTCGTAAGAGGCTTCAAGCTTCATGAGTTGCTGCTTGCTGTCACATGCTACACTCTGACTCACTAACATGGAAGTGCAAAACCATGCAAAACCTCCTGTTCGTAAAGGACAGTAGTCTTCCAAGGGACCATTTTCCACTTCCATGTTGGTGAGTCAGAGGGCAGATCTATTTGGAATTCATGTTGCCCGGCGTTTGAAGACCGCAGCTCGCTGCGCGGCAACGTCTCAACACGTCTCGGCACCTTGTGCAGTTGTCAATGGGGATGGGTCAAAACCAGGAGCCCGACCAGTCCACCATGTAGCGAATGGCCGACACCAGGTAGGTCAAACAAGGTACATCTTGGTTTTTGACCCAGAGCCATGTACCACATGTCCTTCAATTCTTGTGTCCCCATGCAGTGTCCCTGTGTTTTTGTTGGTTTTCATTGTAACGTTTTTGCGGGGGCACTGTACTTGTGGGAGGCATCACTCAGATTTGAGGGGAAGCTGCACTGAAATTGAAAGGAGTCATTGCTGGCAGGTACAATTTCCGTCAGCTCTTCTTGATCCATTTTTGTTGCACATAGGAATTGCAAATTTAGGATCATGTAGGGAAGTCTTGACGCAAAGGAGCGCCCTCTTGGTTTATGACATAGAGATCTCAGTTTTTGTTGGGTGATTGTAGTAGTGACTCTTTTTTAATTCAGAGCTCCATGTCATTCCATGTCACCATCCATTTTTTTTTCGGAAGACATCAGATCAGCGTTGCGAGCGCTCACATCTTCCCAGCCCGTGAAATCGCTGGCCATTGCGAGCGCGCCTGCCAGACATGCGCCAGACATCCACGGTGCTGTCCAGCACGGTGCTGTCCATGGAAGTTCCGGGTCAGAGAAGTTCCGGGTCAGAAAGTCATCGAACCCGGATTCAGGCCAGGTATTTGGATTGGGTTGTCTCCTATGAGTCAAATCTCCCTTGGGCCCATCAGAGTGGGGAGCTTTGGCCCATGAAACACAAGGTGTCCAAGTTATTTCAGGAAACCCAGTTCTCCAATACTGATCCTTCATTTAATGCTTGCCCTGGCTGACTAAGGTTGAAGCGAAATCAGGCGCGAGTGGCTGAAAGCAAACCCTGTGGCACGGTTTTGGATTTGGGTTTGAAGGTTTAATTTAGAATGCACGTGAGTTCTTTGCGAAGCTGAGCCGTGTCATGGATTCTTGGTCACAAGATGTCACAAGTCACCACATGTGTGCCTTTTTCGTAGTGTCTCCAGACCAAGAGTAACATGTAGATACTGCGTAGGGCAAGCCTACGGTCCACTTGAGGATCCCATTTTTAAGCATCAATCCATTGCCTTTCGATCATAAAAATTGATCTGTGAAAAAAACATATATATATATATACCTAGAACATCCTAGAACCTAATTATCTCCTCTTTTACATGTGTTTGATCCCATGAAAACCACGGTCAAATGGGTTCAAACAAGGTACAACATAGACACCTCCCAGAAAGCACTGGTGTGACTCGTGCATTCGTACTTGGTGTCCGGTGTCCCTGAGAAACACGTGCAGAGTTGGATCATGGATGGGCCGCCTTTTGGATGAAAACCAGTGGTGCTAGGTCAACCCAACTTTTGGTCAAACCAACTTCTCCAACTGAGTTGTTCACATATTGGGAATGTTCATGAATGTTCATGAATGTTCATGGCGGATCATCATGGTGCTTTGGAACCTGATCGCGTGCGCTCGCGCGCGCCACCACAGGAGCTACTACATCGAGCCACCACACAGAGTGACATCATCGGATACCAGGCCCTCCATGGGGCGGCCCGGGTGGGGGCTGAGGGGTGGCTGATGGGGGGTGGGTAGCTATGGTTCTGGATGGTTCCGGTCATTTGTGCGACTTTTGGAATGGGGCTTCACATACATGGATTCACAGTCAAGATGACGGATCTAATGATCTAATACTAATAGGATCTTGCTAAATGGATCTAATAGTATATTACAAAATAACTAAGTGTTTCCTTTCAGTTGTTTCCACGTGGTTCTTTTCCTATAAGAGCCATATCATTTTGACTTGTCCAGGCACCCCAGCAGTACTTTCTAGGGTTGGAATGGAATTTTAGAATATTGAATTCAATTGTGGTTTTGAGGTGAAAAGGATTTGAATTCACATGCTCTCCCTACTGGAGAATCCTCAGGCAAATCAGACTCTAATCAGACATCGCAGCACTCTTGAACATTGGTCCAAACCACCCCCTGTTTGTGCAGCTAGGTCCGCACTCAATGTCGTAAGCACTGGCGGTTTTGGGATGGTTTTAGGTTCGATGTGCAGCATTTCCATGTGTGTTTTAGAATTGAAGTTGCGGCCAAGGTGTGAAGTGGCGGCCATGTCTTGCATCAAGATGAGTAGATGAGTCATTCCTAGCAGTGATATATAGTTTTTTTGTTTGCACTACGTCAAGAATACTCGCAAGTTCAACACTTCCAGGCTGACCAACATCCATTCCAAGCCTCCAACTTGATATTCACGTTTATATAGAATGGATTCAATAAAGGCCACTGCCCCAGGGCCTTTTCGTTCAACCTGTTCCACAGCTGGTCCCGATCGCTTCGTTCGCTTCGGTCCCGACCGTGTACAACCGCAGGCCCAGGCGCCGTTCGCACAACCCATCATGCAGGACGGAGATGGATGCGGTGGAACCCTGCGGTCATGAGTACTGTAGTCATGGAAGATGAAGGAGATGTGGATGGAGTAGATGGAGGACCCCTTTTTCCGAGTCGACTCAGTCGACCATGTCTTTGTTCACCCTCAATGAATTGTTGGCAGTGAAGCGTTGGAAGAAGTAGACACTCGTAGTGAAGTTGTTACATATATATATATATATATGTATCTTCCATCACAGTGCACTTGCAACATTGGGCAGTGAGAGGGTACTCGAAAAGGCCTGCCTGCGAACTCCAAGACTTTCCGGCTCACCTGAGGACCAATACAACTCCCAGCGAAGCACATCTACCAGTCGGATAGGAAGCCTCCTGTTTCCCGGTCCTCCTTGTTCTTCAGGGTTTGGACGCTTGCCTTTCGCAGAATCCAGGCCAAACTGGATGGACTGCAATGCTTGGGAGATGCGAATGCCTCTTTCTGCCGCTTTGCTAAAACACCGGCGCCTCTGTGACACTGTGAGATCCCATAGTTAGCCATCATTGAAGTTCCAAAACCTTATACATTTCACCAATCTAAAACACAGAAGAACCAAGAATTAACTATCCTCTTTGTTCGTTTATACCTTTACAGTGTTTGCAAGTCATGTATGCGTCTTTCTGTGGCAGATGTTGCCAGTAACAGAATTTAGAAACAACCATAAAGTGCTTTGCCAGTGTTATGCTCATTTATACTTGAGGATTTTAAGTCACACCCAAACATGCCACTGATCACATCCTTTGTATCCGAGGCGGCGACCAGCGTCGGTGTGTGGGGCATAGCGAGGCGGGAGCGAAAGAGAGCCGGTCTCCAGCGGTGCGGATGGTGACGACCTCCCAATGAAAACGAGGCTAAGACCGGTCGTCACCACAAGAACAGGCTTTGGTCCGGCAACATCTAATGCACAGGAAACTAGATCCTTCACATGCAGTTGTTTCAACCTAGGCAAATGAAAGGCTTTCAAGTTATGAAAGCACCATCCTGTACACCAGCAATCAAACGCATCAACGAGAAAAGCAAAACAAGCACCTCTGAGTTTCATGGTTGAACTGGGTGAACTCGTTGATTCAATCTGAAAACATCAGACTCAACAACTGATTCCCACCATCAGTTCTTCAGTTCAGCAAACATCAAAATGATTCACGCACCTCTGCGGGGCGGAAGCTTATCCAGACCGAGTGAGTGACATCAAGCGCATCAAGGCACACACCGCAGACCCCCGCACGGACTCCAAGGACATAGGGTAGGAGTAGGACGAAGCGGGATTTGTATCCTGTAAATAAGTAAAATAAATTAATAGCTTCTTGTTACTACTAGTAAGGCACCTGTTACTAGTAGCGATGCACTTGTTTCTACTAGCTTCTTGTTAGTTCTTTGCAATGATCCAGAACTGGGAAGGATCACTGTATGCAAGGACCAAAAGTGCAGGAACAGGCAACAAGTGTTGAAGATGTCAAAGGAAGGTCCAGGACAACCAAATTGATCAGTATTTTCTTGACAAGGTTGAACCATTCATTTGTGGGATGATCCTTCTTGATTGGCTATCTAACCTGTGCCATAAATATCCATGAGCCATGATCCTTTTTGCACTTGAATTTCTCCTTGACAAGATGCAGATGACGTCATATCAACCCCCGCCCAGTCTACTTGATTCATCAATTGCCGCAGGTCTACTTGGAACAACTGGCCGTGGGCGGAAACATCACCGCTTTGACCGCGCTCCTGGGAGGAAAGATCGAGAGCCTCTCGTGGGTGACAAGACTGGCTGCCTCTCGTGGGTTCTCTCCGGTCCTTCCCCCAGTCCCTCCGAACTGCCAGTTCTCTTGGTCGACAGGTCGACAGGTCGACATGAAAACACGAGCGGAACATATACTGGTGGAGACTGGTGGAGACGAGATGACCGTCGATATGACTGCCGAACCTCTGACCCGCATCGGTTCGCTTCGTTCGCTGGTACCCGTACGGGTACGGACAGTCCGTCCGAGTCGACGTGACCTGGGGCGTTCAGACGCCCCGGTGACATGTGTTTCGACCTTGCAAGATACAGCTTCACTTTCGGAAAACAAACCATGTATTTACAGTATATTATGTATTTATCAAAGCAGAATGTATCAAAGCACGGTGTTTATAGAAACACAATCCTGCTGACATGGGGTGCCAGGAGTCTGTCTCGAAAGCAGCGTCCACGGTGATCGGTGGGCCCTGTGGCCTGGTTTGGAAGCGCCAAAAGCGTTGTCACATTGGGCCACCCGCTTGGTATAGCAACCAGAAGAAATCTGTTGCAATAGACAACAGATGCACCGTTGGCTAGTGAAGACAAGGGTCGTCTTTAGATAAACACATCTCGAAGTTCAGGTCAACAAACACATTCCTTCATAATGGAACATTGATGGGTGCTATACCCAGTGACTTCTTCCTCGCGCTCTCCCCAGAGCTTTCGGAAAACTACGCCTGCATGGCACCTTTCGCGTTCGGCACAGCCTGCGTACTTGAGGTTGGACCGGGCACATTTGGCTTGCGCTTCCACTGAGGGACAAATTTGGCCAAACTGCCAACGTTGGAGACGGCTGAGGTTGTTGGAGTGGTTCATTCCCGTCATGACATGGGTTTGTCTCGAAATGGGGATCCCCAACAAATATATTGAGACGCTAAATAAATTTATAAGTAATGATACCACATTGTTGAGACATATTATTGGTCAAGCCATGTCAAGCCTTCCTGCACTGACTTGCCAAGACATCCGGCGACAACAACGTACGACAATAATTCAATGTGGGTTTCTGTAAATGTTCAGGACAGTCTGTAAAGTGGAGAAGCGACTCTTGACTAATTTCATGCAGTAATGTTTGGGGGGCCAAATCCAAGCAGAAGCTTCCTAAGTCTGGTACAGCTTGTCAGCTTGGTCAGTGAAACTGGTTGAGGTTGGGATATACGGATATATGGTTATGTACTGTTTACGCGCAAGCAAGCTACCATCAGTTCTCCCACCTCCTTGTTTTCCTATAGTCCATGTAGCACCATAAGTCGTGGTTTGTTGGATGTTTTGCTGAGGAAACAAAACCCGAGCAACAAGCATCAAGCAACCCATGTGTGCTTATTCTGTTTATACAATTGAAGACAATTGAACCACCAGAGCTCCATGCCAACAGCGGAAAGCGGGTCCGCCAGGGTCTACAACTGGCGAGAGGATCGCATCGTCAGCCAGCTCCGCAGTTCCTCAGTGGTCCTGGCCGATGAGGACGGCAACCCTGAGGCTGGGTAGCTTCTGGATGCTTCTGGGGAGCCAGAGTTCTGGGTGTTTTTTCTGTGATTTTCTCAGGTGAACACTATGGGTGACCAAAAGGAGTTGTGACAGTGGGATGCCGTGGGTTTGGAAAATGATGAATGTACGAAAGCAACCTTGAAGAGAAAGGCCTGGGTTCTATTGATGCCACTAAACCAATTGTAGGGTAGAGTGCTAGATGACATCCCTAAGAAGCCCTTGCAGACACATGAAGCTCTATGCTGGGCACAAGTTCAAAACGATACTGGACTTGAAGTGTTGTTGTAGAGGTTTCAAACTATATATATATACTATATACAGTGTATATTTAGGTATATTGAGATAACTAATGGTATATATGTACTAATATAATCTAATAAGGTCTATTGCACACGCTGGTGGACCGAGCTGACAAACTTCAGCTCTGATGAGCGGACAAGGGATGTCGAGTAGGGCCAGACTGGAGCTAGACGCCTAACTAGGCCTGCCAGGTCGACTCAGACACGTTTTCTCGGCGACGCGATCGGAAGAAGGTCACGAGATCCTTGCAGGTTCGGACACTTCTGTTGGCACACTTTGGACCCAGGCCATGCTTTCCAGCAAGGCCTTGACAAGACTCGGGATTGGTCGTGGACGTCTTGAAAAATCGTTGCTCTGCTCGTGGCACGGAGACCAAGGTTTGCCGAGTGAGACGCATGCAGACCCTGACAGAGGCATGTTTTGTTTTTGTGTGGGGGATGATTGGGGAATGGGTTGATTATGGGAGGATGGGCATGTTGGAAGGGAGACATGCAAATCATTGGCTCCAAGTCTTCCCCAAACTGAAAGACCAATGGCAGAAATACTGTAGATCCAGAATAGCAAGAGGTTTGAGCCATCGTCTCTTTGGACTAGTCATGGACTCACAATGCGGGACTCCTTGCTCTGGCAGGCCAGGGCTGCGGACTGAAGTGATTTCAGAAGTCCCAGCAGAGGTTTGGAGGTTCTGTTTTGATGGGTTATAACAAAAATAATATATACATACACAAATATCTAATCTCGGAACCAGAGTTACCAACAGCCGCTTGAGCTTTCTCCAACGAATGGAGACCTCGGGTCGCAGCCGCACATGGACTCAACTAGTGGAATGATGTCCAAGGTGATGTCCAAGGGCTTCAAGTGGATTGAATGTCGGCAAGGTCAACAACTAGACACTTGTTGGTAACCTTTCATGCTGATAAAGTGCTCCTTGCCTGATCTCAAGGATGTGCATGGTTTGTTTTTCCTTCGCATACTTTTGATTGAGGTTCATTTGATGCCAAATACGTCGTTCTTCACATCGGACGGAGACCATCCCTGACATCTGCAGAAACGCTGCCAAATACGTCGCTCCTCAGCGGTCGCCAGGATGCGCGGGTGCTGGGCAGCACCGACGAGCGCGGCATGGTCCGAGACTCGGCAGCGCGTCCGGCGCAGCGCCACTGGTCGGTCTCGTGTGGCGCGTTGCAAGACTCGACAGCGGGTGAAGCTGAAGGGATGGAAGTATTCCAAGTGTATGTCCAATGGAGCTGTTCTTTGAAGCAAGATCCTTTGCAGAACATGTACAAGGGGCTTCAGGAGATGTACCTTTCGAACTGCCAGGCAGCCTCAGGGCACTGTCAAGGGTCATTATATACTCAGTCCATTTTAATCCTCCAATGAAAGTAGCCACAGGCTGAAGGCTTTAAGGTAAGCCTTCAAAGCTTGGCGGGAACACCTACCCTCCCCAACATGGCACATGGCCAATGGAAAGATGATGTTTGGGCTGCAAACAGGGAATGGTTCACTTTCATGTGATGTGTTTGTTGGAGTGTAAATTGCAGCTGCATGTGTCTTTTTGACTCTGTAATTATTTGTTGGTTTCGATGCCCAGGTTTGTTTGTGGGACTTGTTCGATATGTCGATGATTGCAGAGGTGCGAAGCTGCATCGTGGACGGATGGCCCGACAGACTCATCAAGTGAAGCAGAAATCACCACTTGCAACGAAGGAATAATAGCGGGCCAAAAACATGACTTGAGTGGCCAGGACACCCCCAAAACATGGCATTAAAAAGATGGGATTCTAAACTACAAGTGATTTCAGGATGTTCAGCACCCGGTTTTGGCCGGAGCTGGTCACTAGGCACCCTTGAGTCACATGTTCTGTTCAGCATGCCCAGTACTGCTGCTATGTCAACGTGATAGACCCCAACAGTCTTGATGGTGATAGTGAGTGTATGAGTTTCAGTTGTTCATTTCAAGACCCCAATGGCACGCTTCCCAGAAATGTGCCAGCTGGGATGACTGGAATTTTTAGACCCCTCATGTTTGCTGAGGACAATGCATTTAAGACCATCAGGGTGTTGGGTCTCCTTCGCGTTCTGTACAATCCATTCGAGAGGGGGGGACCAAGGTCACTCGTCGTTTCCAAGCCGAAGAAGCCACCGAAGCTTTCTCCAACACCACTCCCCCCACCCCCCAGTCACCGTCATCTTCACACATCTTTACAGCCAAGCCGCGGCACTGCCAGTCGCGCTTCCACGAGAAGGCTTGCACCAGCATCAAGCCAGACTATTGGAGGCGGGAGTCGGTCCGGCCCACCCCACAGACCGAATGCTGGGTTCCCCACGCGAACTCCCATCACATGGGAGTCAGTCCTGTCAAAACTTTTGAATTTTGGGTAAGAACTTTCACGTTTGGAAGATTACATTCACGAACTAAAGAACGTCACTATCATGAGACAATGACCAAGTAAAATCTCCCACCGAGCTCCAGTGTATATCAAGGACATTATATAATTGAAGGACAAAGGGAGCAAAGGAGTGGGGTAATCCAAGCTAGGTTGGAGGAAGTCCATCACTATTAGGTTGGAGGCCATCACTATTAGGTTGGAGGCCATCGCTAGTAGGTTGGAGGCCATCGCTAGTGGGTTGGAGGCCATTGTTAGTAGGTTGGAGGCCATCGCTAGTAGGTTGGAGGCCATTGCTAGTAGGTTGGAGGCCATTGCTAG